ATGCGTGTGCGGCACGTTTTGCTGAGCATGAAAAAGCTGTATTCAGCGACGGAGTTTCGGTTCCCGACACACTTATCGCTATGGATATAGGACTAAAAACACGGGTTCTGTTTACACAGGCATTACACAAGGCGCAGACTATTGTATGGAATGGACCAATGGGGGTATTTGAATTCGATGCATTTTCTGCAGGAACAGAGGAGCTTGCAAGAGGTATAGCACATTCTTCTGCTCTCACCGTAGTGGGAGGAGGGGATTCTTTAGCAGCGGCCAATACATTTAAGCTAAGTAAGTACTTTTCTCATGTTTCCACTGGGGGCGGTGCCTCTCTTGAGTTCCTTGAAGGTAAGGAACTGCCAGGTCTTAAAGCCCTTGTCACAACATAACAAGACATGAAACATTAGGCAAGGGTATGTATGTTTCTACTCTTATAGAGCGCAACGCATCATTATGTCTTATATACTATAATAAATTTAGTTATAACCACAATGTGGTATGGCAGTATAGTAAAAGTAGAGTGGTAATATAGAACGTATGTACTGTATGCGTACTGTATGTTAAGGGAAAAAGAATGAAAAACTACATAGTAGCAAACTGGAAGATGAACATGCTTAGTGCTGATATAAAAGAATTTTGTATAGCAGTAAAGAACATCCCACAACAAGAGATATCCGAGAACACACAAGTCATTATCGCTGCACCCTTTGTATATCTTAAGGAATTAGTCCAGGAATTGCAGGGTAGCCCTATTATAGTTGCAGCTCAAGATATGTCTGGTAATACACGTGGTGCACATACTGGCGAAATCTCTGCTGAAATGCTCGCAGATATAGGTGTTAAAGCAGTTATTGTTGGACATTCTGAGAGAAGAGCATTGTATGATACAGATGTTATGATGCATGAAAAAATAAGCAGGGCATTAGAGTATGGTTTGGAAGTAATTTTCTGTGTCGGAGAAACCTTACGACAGCGAGAAGATAATAGAGTACAAGAACTACTTGCTACACAGTTGCATTCTGCTCTAGGCAATTGTACAACATCACAGATCTCTTCCATAGTAATAGCGTATGAACCTGTATGGGCAATTGGAACAGGAAGAACTGCAACAGCCGACATAGCAAATAATACCCATATGCTGATACGAGATGAAATAGAAGTGTTACATAATAAAGATATTTCTCAGAACACAGCTATACTATACGGGGGATCAGTAAATGCACATAATGCAGCAGAGCTATTAGAACAAAACAACATCAATGGTGTACTCATTGGTTCTGCCTCACTCAAACATGAAGTATTTACATCGATAATAAAAGGAAGGTAGGAGCATGTCATTTTTTATTGGCTTTCTGATAGTATTACTTGTATTAACCTCAGTATTTCTTATATTAATAATACTAGTCCAGGATGATGGCGCAGATGGTGCAGGTATGCTGCTAGGAAGCAGTGCAAGCCAGCAGTATGGGGCGAGGAAGGGAAATATTGTTACGCGAACAACGAGCATCCTTGCTACAACTTTTATTGTGGTTTCTGTAGTGCTGGTATTTCTTTTTAAGGAATCTGAAATAGATCTGCAATATGAAGACAGTGTAAGCAATGCAAACGCCCAGGCCTTAGAATGGTGGGAAGATAACGTAGAAACAGTAGAAGGAGAGGGAGGAGATGGGACAACGCTTTTAGATGGCGTGATAGATGGCGTGATAGATGGCGTGAGTATTATAGAAACAAGCAGTGCTGAGACAGTTCCCTTGAATACAGCTACAACAACAAACGAAGAAACAGGAGTCTCCAGTGACGCTGGGGAAATAAGTTCAGAATCCAGTGAAGCAAGTACTTCTGATGAGACAAATTAAAAGCAGCATGTATGCGCATTTTTCTATTACGTAGTAAGAAATGGATTACTATGAAATTTTAGGTGTGGATAGAAATGCATCTATTAGTGAAATAAAGTCATCGTTCCGCAATAAACTCAAACATCTGCACCCCGATACACAATCCAATGCCTCAGTAGCTACTAGCCCTCTTGCTGGGATAGTTGAGAATTCAGATAGTAGAGAAGTCTTACATAATCTTATACATGCATATACTGTTCTTTCCAATCCCATGAAGAGACGTATATATGACAATAAAAAAATACATCTTGTGCAAACTCCTAAAAGGAAAAAAAGATATTTTAACTATGAAACATTTCTTTTTGCTCGACAACATATATTTTCGTACAAAGCAAAGCTCTTTATGTACGATCTGGTGTATAAGACAGGGAAGAGAGCAGCGAGCATATATGAAGAAATAACAAAATCAGGAAAAAAAATTTTACTAAAGTCTGAATTAGGAAAATTAGATTATATTGATTGCATATCATTGCTTGCAGAATATTACCAGCAACATCCAGATAAGAGCATGAATAAAAATCGCTCCCTTTGTTTTTAGAAATATTTCATATGGAGAAGGAATTGCATTATTTTAAGGAGTATATACATTTCTTTGTAGAAAATATAGCGGAAATGCTTGGGAGTAAATTTACAAAAGAAGATTTTATGCACAATGATAAAGACGTTCTATATCCATTACTACAAGAAGTTAAGCTTTTTCACAGTCTTTACAAAGCTGAAAATGAAGGAAAAACAAAGAAGAGAGTTATGAATGAAAAGCTTACCCATCTATTGTATATATTTTACTGATGGTGTATAGTAGTAGTATGATGAGGTACTGTATGATTAGCAGCAAGAAATTCACTGTTTTTTCTTGTTTTTTATTGGCGTTAGTGGCACAGTATGCGTGGGTCTCGCCCGAGCTCTATGCACAGATTTTAGATAAAACCATTGCAGTGGTAACATACAAAAAAACTGAGAGTATTTCATTAAAAAAAATTGAACAGCAGTATGATCTATTACTTAAACAATCAGCCAGTATTACTGGGTCTGATAGGAGTGATATTACAAAAAAAGACGTATTAGAAGCAACGATAAGCGATGTGCTTATTTCACAGGCTGCCGAGGCACAGGGTGTTAGTGTAAGTGCTCAGCAAATAAATGAAATAATATCTCTGCAGCAGGAGGCGTACGGAACTCCAATATCTAATGAGGATTTTCAGACACTTATGGAGAAACAGACTGGTCTTCGCTGGTCTGAATACCGCGAGCAGATTCGTAGAAGAATCATGCAAGAGCAGTATATTGCTTCAAAATATGAAGATCAACTAAAGCAGGTAAGAAACCCAACAGACTCTGAGATACAGAAAACATACGATGAATTTGCAACGATGTTTATTAATCCATCTATGATAAGAATTGAACATCTTTTTTGGGATACACGGGACCTTTCACGGAATGAAATAGGTAAGAAAAAGCAAGAAGCAGAGAAAATAGCAAGAAAAATAAACAAAAATAGAGCTATTTTTGAAAGTGAAATAAAATTATCATTAGAAAATCCAGATCTTGAGGGGGGAGACCTAGGTTTCATTATTCGAGATGATCAAACAAAAAGAATACTAGGCCCGGATTTTTTAGACAAGGTCTTTGCTCTTGATGAAGATGAGGTAAGCGGTCTTTTAAGTTCAAAAAGTGGTTTTCATGTAGTTATGATTAAAGACAAAAGAGAACCAAAGCTACTTTCTCTTTCTGATCCTATTCTCCCAGGGGAAAGGATTACTGTGCGGCAAAGGATAATCTCAACATTGCAAAATCAATTTAGACAGCAGGAGTTTGCTGGACTCATCCAAAAGGAAGTAGAAGAACTAAGAAAAGATGCAAAAATTCGAATCTTAGACCCAAAATATAAATAGATGGGTCTGCATAAGCAAAGAAGAAAGGCATTTCATGCAATGTACATGTACGGCTTTAACACTGCTATGCACACTTTGTATAATGTAGAGGAAATAGAAAAGAATTTTTTATCCATTCCTAGCTGTGAAAAAAATTCATACTCTATTTCACTGCTTCACAGCACAGTAAACAACTTAGAAAAAATAGACCAGCTTATAGAAAAAAGCACAGGCCCAGCTAGTTTTGTTCAGCTTCCTTTTGTTATCAAGGCTATACTACGCATAGCATTTACTGAGCTCTATTTTTTTTCTACACAAGTCGAAAAGTCCATTGTTATAAATGAAGCCATCATTCTAGCAAAGACATATTCCGAGCTTAATTCGTATAAGCTCGTGAACGCTGTGTTAGATAAACCGCATATCAATTTATAATAGCAGAGAGTTTGTTTGATGCTACAATAAACATATGAGTGTACATGAATGAAAGATAATACTAAGGTGCACAGTAAACGCTCTCGCACCCCCTTCTATGTTTTTTTATTCTGCATACTAAGTGTGTGTATCACCACAATTTCTGTGTATGTTGTTGCATACTTCCGCAGTGATAGCTATTTTATATCCTTGCTAGATGTTGCAGTAAGCGATCCAGATGCTTTTTCTCAGCAGTGGGAAGATTTTTTAGAGCGATCGAGGACCCCAACCCAGGGTCTCGCGGTAGTGAAACGATTAGAATCGCTAAACCTAGAGCAAGAATACAGGGATTCACTGTTAAAGTCAGCAGAAAAATTCAATGAGATCCAAATTCAGGCATTAATAATAGATTATCAAATTCGTTCCAACGATTATATAAGTTTTTCACAGGTCAGTATCGATTTTGAAGAATTGTGGCGTCTTCACCCTGCTCTTATGAGATATTATATTGTACAAATAGGAAAATTCAGTTTTCTTCAAACCGATGTAGCATTATCTCGAGTCTCCTTGCATGATGAGGTACTTTCTCTATTTAATAGAATACATGAGAGGAGGCAGGGGATAGGATTGTACCATCATTTATTTCGTTTAACTCACGATGAGGTATATCGTTATCTTATTGCTGTGAGTTATCTTTTAGAAGACAATATAGAATCAGCCACTCGTTATTATGATGCTATCAGCACTGAATGGAAAGCAAATAATATGCAGTATGCACATGTTTTTGACTCTCTTGCTTCAGAATCTATGTACGATATCTTGCAGGACACATTCAACACTAAGAATAAACTATTTATTAACGCACAAAATTTTTTTCTTAGTAATAATATTGATTTAGGCGTACAGCAGATGCAGAGATTACTCATGCAATACCCACTACGAACACTTGATGATGAATTACTGCACTTTATTTTTTGGATTTTCCAAAACTACACAACAAGATTAGAAAAAGAAAAGGTACACAATCTCTTTAAGGCGGTGGAAGATAGAGTGGTGCAAGATCCATATCTCACACTTCAATACCTTTTGTTTCTCTATTCTAGGGATAGAGAACAAGGAATAGCGTGGCTAGAAAACACAGAATTTAATGAACTTATACGTACAAACCCGCAGTTTCAATACATGAGTTTATTGTATAAAAACCCAAGCGGTGAAGAAGTAGAGGTGTTTCTTTGGAAAAAATTTGATGAGAGCAGGATGTATAATAACAGAAAAAATATGAGAATGTGGTTAACATACCTTACACATACGTTGTCGAAAAATAGAAATACAAAAGATTTAGAACTACTGTTCTCACGTTACCCCGAAATGCATACTGTATTTCTTCCTTATCAGATATATGAACTGCTTACGTATGATATGGTAAGCATTTTTGATAAAGAGGAATTGAATGATATATTAGATGTAGCAGATAGAGTGACCTGGCCATGGTGGCATCAATATAATGTTTCTGTATGGTTAGCTTCACAAGGACGAGTGAATGATGCCTTATATTTACTTACCCATCTAGAGCAAGAAGCCGGACCATTTCAATCGAAAGATACATTTTCTCTCTACTATACACAGTACATTCGTATGTTTTTACTTTTATCTCGTTTTACTCAAGCAAAATCATATTTACGTGAATTGAAAATACTGAACCCAACGTATCCTTACATTCAACAGTTAGAGGAAACCATAAAGTACAGCGAGTTTATCTCCAATGAAATCATTGATTCTCCTTAGTGATCCTTTTACTACTTTTTTTATGTGGAGTAGTTGTATAATATAATTATCATGTAGAGTGTTGTATATGGTCTTGTGTTTTACAGGGGGCGTTGACACAATGGCTCTTGCGTGATATTCTTAGAATAAACATGAAGAAAGCTCTATTTTCATTCATTATTTTAGCCTCTTGCCTCATTCCGTTGTATTCTCAAGAGTCTACCGAGAGCGAGACAGGGCCCGTGTATACTGGTGATGTTTATATCCCAGGTTACGAAACAGGAAATGGCAGTCTCAGTTTAGGGGTGGGCATGATACTCCCTCTTTTTTATCAAACATTTACCGGGGAATATATACCTCAGACGCGGCTTACGGTAGGTGGGTCAGCTTGGTTGGAATGGGATATCTTTCTTTGGAAAGCGCTTTCTGTTGGAATGGAAATAGATGGCACTTTTATGCTTACCCCTAATAATCGTTTTTTAATTCTCTCCCCCATTACCGCACATGTCAAGTATGTATTTCAAGCGTACCCTATTGAGTTTCCTATGTCATTGGGGCTTGGTATCAACCTTGTGTCTCTTGAAGAAAGCTTCAAGGTAGATTTTGTTATAAAGCCAAAAATGGGGATTACGTATAGAATAAACCAAAACTGGGCAGTGGGCCTTTTTGCTTCCTATTTGTTTGATCTACAGGTATACGATTACACCTTAGGAGAGGAATACTCTAGAATGGCAAATTTTCTTGAGTTCTCAGCAGGGTTTTCATATGTTTTCTAAAAACTATCATCGTAGCAGTATGCAGGGCAGTGCTTATCCATATTATTCTGCATCCATACCCCTTCTACTGCTTCCTTTTCTTCTTTTCTTTGTATTTCTTTCCTGTAATGAGCAAAAAGCAATATTTGCAGAAATAGAGCGGGAAGAACTCATCCAAACTTCTAACCTTCCCAATACTATCACCCCTCTTAGCATGGTGCTTCTTGGCAATTCGTATGTAGTGTCTACAGGGGGGGGCTTATACAAGAGGCGGGTAGATGGAGAAAGCTGGGGAGAGATAGCTCTTCCTTCAGGGTATAGTGGAATTACCAGTATTGTAGCCCTTGATGAAAACACAGCGTATGCAGTTCTGATAGTTAATTATGAAAAGCGAAGCACAGCAACTGCACTTTTCAAGCTTAGCAATACTACAAGTAATACACTGCAATTTGATCATATTCGCACGATTGCAGCAGACGATGGTGCAATCACAAGCCTTTTTATAGTGCCAGGAAGCGATAATGTGTATGCGTATGTGTATAAAAAGAGCGAGAAAGATAACGCACCCTCTGAAGTAAATTATTATCAGAATTTTCAATCTGCAACACCACAATTATTGATGTATGCAGATGGGGAAGATGCTTTTGAAGCAAGGGACAGAAATGACACGATAATAGGGGTTATTTCGCATAACGGTACATTATATGTTGCAACTCAAACTCAACTCTTTACTCTTGCAGGTAATATCTTACGCGAAGTCGATGTAAGCGTAACTACAGAGAGGGGGCTTAGTGCGTATCAAAAAGATTAATGGTATATATGTCAATTCAAAGAACAAGATTTTTCTTTCATCATCTGAAGAAATTTGGCAGTATGATGGTACGTGGAAGAGAGATAGGATTTCTTCTAGGAATTTTACAACATTTATGGAGGTGCAAACGGCGAATTTTAATGGAATGCTTGTAGGTACTATTTTCTACCCTAACAGTCCAGGACTAAGTGCAAACAGTAAAAATGAGGGTTTTTTTGAATTCGCAGACGACAACGTGACAGCACTCAGCGCTCCACAAGGAGATAAGTATATTTCAGGATCACTTGATGAATCAGGTATATATGCATTTTACTACAATGCAGACACAGAAGATCTTTTTGTGCTTACAGCATCCCAAGGCCTCTGGCGTGGATCGTATGCGTCTAGTAGAGAAGTTGACTGGTTTCTGGAATAACCATTAAACATTCTTAAAATAAACTAGTGTGCTCTCGTCCTATCTTTGGAGGGACAAGCACAGTATACTCCACTAACGTGCCATGCTTTACCGTAGCAATTTCTACTGCCCGCCGCTGGGCAAGAGCATCATGCAAGATAGTAAAGTGATCGTGGTAGTTAAGTGCCTCTTTTTGGTTTAAGGCAATAATCATATCACCTTCTTCTAGCCCTGCATCATCAGCGGGGGATTGTGGCAGTATACTTTCAATGTGTAGTATTAGAATCTCTTTAGAGAGCCCATACGCCTCTTTTTGATGCTCTAAGAGCGGAGAAGCAACGTAGCCCGGCCAAACAGTTTTATTCATGCTTTGCAGCACAATATTATCAGGTCGTGCGCTGGGAGTGTATGGTATATGATATGTGTTGCCCCTGCGTACGATGGATAGAACGAGTTCACCTTCTTGGTAGATAACTGAAGGGATAAGGGAGTTGGAGAACACGCGAAGATGTGATGTCCGTAATGGTTCACCGTTTACTGCAGTAATAATATCTCCTAGGCGTAGAGTAGAGACTGTTTTGTATTCCGAACTGTAGATATTATTTAATAAGACTGAGTGGTAGTTTCTTATTCCAAGGTCATAATAATTATGTACATACGATGCATACACAGTTACCCCGAGCCATTTTTCCTTCTTCTTTTCCATTCCTATCAATCTTTCTATATGCTTAGTTATCGCTTGCAGTGTAATAGCATAGTTTAATCCTGTATCGTGTTCCAATTCTAAAATTGAGTTGCCCTCAACACTTAAACCTATACTTTCACCCTTTGCATTAATAATAAGCCCGCCTCCTCCTCCTTTGTTTATTGCGGCATCAGTTTGAAAATAGAGAGCTTTACTATCTTCTCTTGTTCTATGTATGGCAGAAACTACACCCTTAGTGATAGAGAACTGATTTCCATAGGCTACACCAATGGCGTATATCTTCTCTGCTACCTTAGGCACTGCTATTGGTAGTGGTGCTATATTGAGTTCTTCCTCACTCTCAAAAAATAGTATGGCTATTCCTAGGTTCTTATCACTGTTGTGGTAATGCGCGTTGTACATAGTGCCATCATGAAGTGTTACGCGTATTGCATTCATGCGCTTGTAGTTACGATGTTCACTTACAAAAAAATAACGCTTCTGTTCGTTTTTTATAATAAACCCAGAGCTAAGTATGCTATCTTTTTTCAATTCGGTGTATGAGCCGCTGTCATTGCCGGGGTTATTGAGATATGGAGAAGCATCGGGAAAGGCGAATGCTTCAATAGCGACTACTGAAGGGAAAGTTGAACTTACAATATGCGAGATATCACGAGAAGATATATCTACGTGAATGCAGAGAAAGAAAATGCCGGAAATACAAAAAAACAAGCAGCACCGAGACATTTTTTTTCCATTCTCCTTGCGTCTTGCAGCCCTAATATACATTTTTGCTATCCCTGTATATATCATTGCTTGTATGTTTTCTTTCATTTTGCTTGTATCGAGAAGTATGTTGTGTATTGCTTGGGGGAGAGAGTGTTATATGTATGCGAGTATTCCCTTCTCGTATAATATGCAGTGTAAGTTCTTCTTTTTTTAGATAGGCATGATGCAGTAGTGAGAAGTACTCTGCATAAGAAAGCTCTTCTTGATCATCTATCCCAATGATGATATCGTTAGGCTGGAGGAGCGATGCATCAGCAGAGGAATGCGGGTACACTTCAATAATTTCATGAGCAAAATCTTGCTTGGAAAGTCCATAGTTTTGCTTCAGTAGTCGAGGTAATGGGCTTGCTCTATACCCAGGCCATACTGAGTAGCTGAGTGTTTGTAATGTCTCTGGTCTTCGATGTACGGGTATGTCAATGGTGAGCTTCTTGCGTTGGCGAAGTATGGTAAGCGTTGCTGTATCCGTAGTTTGCATAGCACTTATCAGTGGTAAAATTATGCTTATCTTGCTGTGCGGCATTTTTTCAATTGCTGTACCATTGACCGAAAAAACAAGATCACCAAGCTGTAAAGCGTTCTCGGTTCTAGGGATTGAAGTATATATATTATCAATGATAACAGCATTTCCGTCTTCCATTGCTAGATCTGTTATCACCTCAAAAGTAAGGGGGCTGTATGTGTATCCTATCCAAGCGTGTTCATTTGAGCTTCCGTGTAATAAAGCATCGATTATTTTCTTAGCATTATAGAAGGAAAATATAAAATTCACCCCCGTTTCAATGTATCCACCAAAGGGAATGTAGGCCTGCGTAATAATAAATGTGCTTACACCGATATATTTCCCTTCTGCGTTTACTACTATCCCACCACTGCTGCCTGGGTTTATGACTGCATCTGTTTGAAAATACAGCGCGCTCTTCTTCTCGAAGGATGTTTTATGTATTGCAGATACAACGCCCTGGGTAACGGAGAATAAAAAACCCATGGGATTACCAACAGAATATACTTCTTCCCCTACAAGTGGTTGGTAATCATAGTGTAGATCTGCAACAGGGATGTTTTTTGTGCTATCGAATATAATTATTGCTAAATCATTTCCCTCGTCGGATCGGAAGTTGTGCCCAAGATGTATATCACCATTGCACAACACAAGCAGTATTCTCTGTGCCCGTTCCACAACATGATGGTTTGTAAGCACATAGTAGCGAGAATGTTTTTTGTGAATAATTGTCCCCGAACCGGTGATAACTCGAGAATGGTCATAGTCATTCGTGCCACTGTACTGTTGCTTATTTGTATACTGCGTTTTATAGGGGCTATCATGGTGCCATTCCTCTACTTCTATTGCAACCGAGGAGTGAAACACCTCTTCAATGATGTGCGATATATCATCAGCATATGTATGGGGCGCCGAGAACGCGATGAGGAGGAACAATATTGTCATGGTACTAGCACTATAGCGCATGTGTTATTTCTTTTCCTTTGCTTGCTTCGTAGATATGGGGTGCAGGTGGATGTATGCCCTTTCAATTCCTGTTCGAATTACGGTAAGTTCAACTGCTTTGTTTTCTACTAGCGCATTATGTAAAATAGAAAAAAATTCCTGTAAAGATCGTATCTCGTCTTTGTTGTATTCAATGATGCGATCTCCTGGCATGAACCCAAGTACATCAGCAGGGGAATGAGGGTAGACATGTGTTACATTGAGCATTAATTGCTGCTCATTTAGTCCATGCTGCTCATTTAGTTTTCTAGGATGAGGGGAAACAAGAAAACCAGGCCATATAGCATGTGAGTACGTACCAAGCATTGCTGTGTCCGGCATATGTTCCAGCGGAACTCGTACACGGCTTTCTTTCGCATTTCTTACTAAAGTAAGTTCCACATAATCACCATCTAAGGAGTTGATGCTGGAAAGTAGAGTGCTATTATCGCGGGACAGATTGCTTATAAGAGGTTGAGAATTAATAGCGGTTATGAGGTCTCCAACCCGTATACGTGCAGTAGTATTTTCTATGTGAGTAGAGATATTGCTTACTAAAGCAGCATTTCTGTTGTCAGAACCGAGTTCTTCTAGCATCGCAAAATAAGGGGCATCTGTTGTTGTTTGCAGATGCACACCAATCCATTTCTTCTTTCGTTGCACATTATGCAGCATGGCATGTATTGCATCTATCGAGTGGGAGATAGAGAGCGTGTAGTTTATCCCAATATCTAGGACTTCGTTATGAGAGAAATGGTCTGTATAGATACCTATAACTTCACCCCCCTGATGTATAACTACGGCACCCTCACTTCCTGTATTAAATACAGCATCAGTTTGAATAAAAAAGGCAGGTAGGTTCCCAAATGTTCTATGCGTTCCAGAGATAATGCCTTCAGAGACTGAGAATGTATTTGCATATGGATGACCAATAGAGTATACTGTTTCCCCTTCCAGATAGGATATTTCTTTTTTCAGTGTACGAACAGGAATATTTTGCTTACTTTCAAAACCAAGAATAGCAATATCTAGTTCTTTATCAGCATTCATTAATTCAGCTTTATGTACATTTCCATTGTGCAGTGTAAGAAGTATTGTACTGCTTTCGCGCCCCTTGTTTACCAGCGAAAAATTGGTAAGTACGGAGTATCTATGATCTTGTTTTTCAATAAGTATTCCTGTGCCGATAAAAGAATCATACGTGGTTGCTGGTTGAGTGCGGCTTGAGGATTTCAATGCCTTATCGGGTTCATACAATAGCACAGCATCATTAAATGGGTGAACATTCCTTACAGCATGAACTTCAATAAGTACAACTGACTCTATTATCTGTGATATTAAAGGTATATACTCTTTATTTTGGGTAAATAAGGGCTGCTGATGCTGTACAGTGAAAAGAAGAGCGAGAAGGACTGTTATGTTTTTCATAGTGTTTGTTTTCTGTGCTCCATATACTTTTAAGTAAGTACTTCTGCCCCTGTGCTTGTGATAAGCACAGTATGTTCAAAATGCGCAGCTAATGTATCATCAAAGCTCTTTACTGTAAAATTATCTGTATCCAATGTTGTCGCACCTGTCCCCATAGTAAACATTGGCTCTATTGCAATGATCATATTCTTTTTCAAACGTTTATGAAAAGACTTATGTACATAGTTTGGTATTTCTGGTTCTTCGTGGAGTTGTACACCCACACCATGACCGCAGTAATTTCTTACTATACCAAGAGAAGAATCCATAGCACACTTTTCTATAGCTTTTGAAACATCCAAGACCGAAGCATTGTGAGTAATTGCATTAATTCCCTGTTCTAATGCTCTTTTTGTGTCTGCAACAAAATTGAGTATCTTTCTATCCTTACCAAAATAAAAAGTATATGCACTATCAGAAAAATACCCCTTATATTTTACTCCTATGTCAATGCTTATCACATCCTCTTTTTGTAATTCGCGCTCTTTATTAGGGATACCGTGTATTACTTCATTATTAATAGAAATGCAAGAGTATGCAGGAAAGCCATGATATCCCCAAAACGCTGACTCTGCTCCTTCGTCGCGTATTGTTGCATGTATAAAGGCGTCCACTTGCTTTGTGTTGGGGGTTGCTGATGAGAAGAGTGAGTGCTGCAGGTACTCTGATACAGCTGTGAAAACGCGTCTGCTTATTGTGCCAGCAGTTCGTATGTGATGAATTTCATCTTCATTTTTGATAACTACCACTACTCTATTGTACAAAAAACACAGCAAACTGTCAATTTTGGTATAATTTTATATTGATATATGAAAATCAAAAACAAAAACATTCAGCTTAGATCTGGATTGGTATTATGCACTCTTAGCAGTATCATGTTGGGAAGTGCTATGTTGGGATGCACACAGGTTTCAGAAGCACCTACTATGCTACGTGAAATAGTCCCTAAGAGCAGTAATGATATTCGTGTTATTGAAACACCACTGAAAGCAAGCACGCAATCCGGATCTCCTATCAGTACTCAAGGGCTGTCGGAGTCTCAGTCTGAACTCAATGCGTTGGTCCCTGGGGATTTACTATCCTTGAAACAAAATGGGAAAACTTAGATTTGGATGATTTTGAAGAAGCAATTGCAGTAATATCGCAGAAAGATCACCAGGAAGCGGATATATATATAGCAAAATTCGACCCCAATAATAATAAGTATTACTTTGTCTGGCAAGGAAAAACAAAAATAGTAAGCAACAATGCGGTGCACTTACGTGTATCAGATATCAGTCTAGATGGAAAAAAAGAGATTATCATCAAGGGAAGTAATGTAGACGAGCAGCAGTACATTGAAGTGTATCAGTTGCAAGAAGATGTAACTAATTTACGGAGTTTTGAAAATATATTCTCGATATTTGCAGTGGGTGGTGGAGATATTGAGCTTTCTCTTGTACAAAGGGAGGTGGGTCTTAGTGAAATTACAGTATACAATATCTACGTTGAGAGGGAAATCATCGAAAAAGATCTCTATATCTGGAATAGAAATGTAGCGTCATTTTCTCGTACTCGCACCGATATCATATCTTATGATGATATTGCTCAGGAGAGGATAAGAGAATTAAACACAAAAGATCCTAATATTTGGCTTAACTATCTTCAGGGCATATGGGAGCTTAAGAGGGGACAAACATTAGATAATACAGATCAGTCTCTATTTATTTACTTTGCGAAACAAGCGCCAGAAACTACTATTTTTTATCATGATTCCATGAAATTATATGCCTGGGATAGGGTATATCGCGTGATACGTGCAAATATAGGTATTGAAGCTGTATTGCTCGACGTTGTACTTCCTAATGTAAAAAAAAGCTTGAATATTGAAATAATGTCAGAAGATGAAATATTTATTAATATTCAGGACGATCATGCAGAAGAAGTGAATGGGGTATATACTAAGCTCAATGAGAACGCAAGTGATGTGCTAAGCACGCGACTGTATAAAAGAGACATCGACGATAGAAAAGATATACTGCAGCAGTGGTTGCTTGGAAGAAAAATCGATAACAGCACAAGCACATCATATTTTTTTTCTCAGGAAACAATTGATGCATACTCGGGCACAGAAGAAGAAGTGTTTCTGTACGCGCTTTTTTTATTAAACTCGCGCATATTTATTGAATGGTATAAAGCGGGAACAAACTCTAGATTTTATGAGATTATAGATTTTGTAGATGTACATGCACAGAATACATTAATGCTAGTGCCTGTGGCTATTACAAGCAATGCAATCTATACTTTAGAGCAGGAAAAAACAATAGTACTGGAGCGGTTTTAGTGCATTTCTTCCTATTTTTCTCGTAGGAATCCCTCAATGTTATGGCTGCGAATGGTAGTAATTTGAAAATCAATGTTTTTGTGATCATAAAGGGGTATGATTACTTGATAAAAAATCGTTCCATTCACCTCTGAATAGGTAATAACTGGCAACGCTATGTCTGAGACGCTGTTTTGAATTTTTTCTTGCAGCTGTGCATGGTATACTTTGGCGGATTCTATATTTTGAAAGGCAGCCGTCTGATATCCTATATTTGGATACGGTGAGAGTCCGGCATCATTTTTCTTTGCTTCAAGTGCTTTGTTTGTATCGTTTGTAGTGGAGGTAGTAGAGTTGCTATTATTAAAATAGAAAAACAGGGAAGGAAGGGGAAGCTTATATACAGAACGCCCCTCAAACAATGCCATTTCCATAGATTCTGGATATACTGAATTTAATTGCTTTTCTGCTAGTACGATGTATTCACGGTTTCCTGTTATACGTGCTACTTCATGTAATAACAAGAACAGAGCGGGTGAATCTATCGTGTGAGTATTCACGTTCATATACTGCACTATATGCTCCATAGATAATGCGTATTTCTGTTCTGCGATTAAAATTTGGGCTTCTAACTCTATTATTCTTTCTTGTAAGATTGGGTTGACATCTGTGCCGCGAATAATACGTAGATTATTTCGAGCAACATCAACGTTACCCGCGTGAAATTCATGGAGGCTAGCCTCAAAAAGATACACAGGATCTTGAGTTTCTTCAAACACTGAATGATATAGAATAGCTGCATTCTTAAAATCGTATTTTAATGACGCCAGCTCTGCAAAGAGGAGGTAAAATTGCGCACCTATATCTGATGGGTTGTAGTATTCAAGTATTGAAAAAAAGAAATTATAAGTATGATCAATATTCTTAAAAGTTGAAAGATTGGAGTGTACAAAAGACATTAAGATTTCGGTACTTGGCTTAGGGTTCTGTAGCAACCAAATATCTAAAGCATCTGATGAAGAGAATGGAGAATCTTGACCAACCTGGCTATGTACATGCAATGAAACAAAGCTCAGAAGAATAAAGAAGAATAAAGAAGAATAACGAGTATTCAATTTATCTTGCTGTTAGGTAGCGATGTTGTCTGTGGGGAAGTTGTATTATTCTTTTTTTGTTTTTTTTCTACTTGCTTCATTCTTTTTGTTTCCTGCTTAATGCTCTTATTAAGTATGTTATGGGCGTACTTTCTTGAGTATGAAAATATAAAAGGGATAGTAATGACTACCCCAACAAAAGCACCAATGTATAAGAGTGAAATACCAGGTATATTTTCAAAAGTATAAAAGAACAGTAATGTCTGTTGTGTACTTAAAATTTGCTATTGTGAAAGTAAGTACTAACCCAATAAACAAAGCACTGAAAATAAAAATCAACATATAATATTATTATACAAAAGAAGCAATATGTTTATTCATATAAAAATTGTGAAACATATGCTTGCAGTGCTTCCCAGTCATTGTTTTTGGGAAGTAAAACATACGCACCAATATTGTTGAGTTCCTCCGTTGGATTCTGCGCTCTGTATTCTTCCATGCTTATTTGCTGTGCCAAAAGTTTAGTAAACGTATAATACAGTATGTTGGTGGTAGAAAGCGTATGTGTATCAGATAGTTTATAGGATCGGTATTTGCGTATCATCGAGATAATATCCAATGTTTGTAGGTCAGTTTCAATGTGTTGTTTGAGTTGAGATATTATTTTAATGAGAGAAGAAATGGAGGAAAACGTATTCAGTGATACTATTTTTTCCTGCATTGATTTAAGAATTAACTGCTGTCTCTCCGATCTACTAAAATCATCAGAACTACTTCTTGAACGAGCAATTCTCAATGCTTCAACGCCTTGTAATGTGTACTCTCCTCGCGGATAACTAAGATACGACCAACGACCGTTTTCTTTTATTTTATAGCTTGTATCAACAAGATCTTCCTTGAGAGACACTGTAATCCCCCCAATGATATCAATAACCGAGATAAAAGCATACATATCAACTGCAATATAATGATCAATTTTCACACCGAGAATACTGGCTAGTATCTGAGTAAAATTTTCCTTTGAGTAAAATTTATAGTACCAATTAATTTTTCTGCCTTTATGGTATAAATCTCTCGGTATACTCAAAAGCTTGATAGTGCCGTTGTGGATGTGTGCAAGTATAATGGTATCTGCAAGCTTATTATGCGACCCCAACAGAAGTATTGTACGCGTGTCAGCATTCTGCTGTGATCCTATCACGTTTTTCTCGTATTCCAAAGCTAGTGATACAGAGCGGATAGGGACATCGTCCTTGTCTAAGATCCAAAGCTCCCCATCGTTTTGCAGTATAGCAAAGGCTCCAATTTTTTTGTCTTTTCCTAGCTCATCTACAGACGAGCTCAGCACATCAAGGTAATGGTAGTCATCGTTGCTTCTCCATTCTGATGCAACTCGGAGCTTCTGAGATCTAAGCATGGTCTGATTTTCTTCTTTCGAAAGCAACTCCTGCAATGTCGACCGTCGTTTATGATGTTCAATTTCTTTGAGAGATAAAAAAGAGGCACTATAAATACTCTCCCTTATATTTGCTATCTTTTCATCTTCGCTGATATCTATACCATACTCCTCACCATTGATTGAGAGCACACTTGTAATACTGTTCATAGAAATTGTTACTATGTTTTCAGCAAATTCATTGTTAAATTTCCATATATAGTCATGCTCCGATGCTTGTTGTGTAATAATACTTGCACGAGAGGATTGAATAAATGTTTGCATTTTCTGCGAGCGAAGTTCTGCTTGCATACGTTCTAAGAGGTGCAGGGAACCTGTCATGCGGGCGTTTACTGTTTCGTGTAATTCTGTGAATAGCGCACGAAACTCACTCAAGCTACTGACGTTATTTCTTTGTGCAAAAGAACTTTGGATAGTGAAACGTAGTTCTTCTTTGTTTTCTACGATATCTTCTAAGATGGGATCTAATTTTGCAAGAACAAAATTTTCTGTCTTAATAATAATACTTACATTTTTTTGGGAAAGATACAACTGTAAAGCCTCTGCTTCTTGAACTAAGGTGTTACGTGTAATATACGCATGTACTTTCTGGGCATACATCTCATCATAGTATCTCTGATACATCTCCTCTAATAGCGTAGACACAGTATTTTGTTCCGTATTTGCAGTGCTTTTTTGTAGTTGCAATTCAAATGGAGCACTTTCTAATTCTAGTAGAGTTCGTAATTCACCATGATTATCAATAAGTTGAAGCAGGGTGCTGAAAATAAGCTGGGCGTCCTTTTTATTGGCTTCTTCTTTAGCCGAGAAAGAGCGGAAGGTGAGAAAAGTAAAAAGAAATAATGCGAATAACGCACTCATGGTAAGTAGGATGAGTATGTATTGCTTTGTGTTAGTTTTCATTGTGGTACTACCAATTCTATATTGCTACGAATGCATCTGCTCAGCTAATAGAACAGTATTATGCATAAGCATCGCAATGGTAACAGCGCCAACCCCACCGGGTACAGGGGTAATGTAAGAAACTTTCTCGAGTAGGGCATCAAAATCACAGTCTCCTACCAAAATATAATCCTTCTTAGCTTCACGTGCTACGCGTTCTTCCTCGGTAAGGGTTATTCTGTTAATTCCAACATCGATGATTACCACACCCTTCTTTACCATTTCTTCTGTAAGAAATTTTGGCTTCCCCATAGCAAGAATAATAATATCCGCGTTTTTGCTATGTGCAGAAATATCTTTTGTCTGTGAATGGCATAGTGTAACTGTAGCGTTCCCATATTCATTTTTAAGGGTAAGCAACTGAGAGAGTGGACGTCCTACCAAGTTACTTCTCCCTATTATAACAATGTGCTTTCCTTGAGTGTGGATGTCATAATATCTAAAAATTCTATCACAGCTAAGGCGGTGCAGGGGATAGGTACTGCAGTGTTTTCTTTCTGCAGTTTTCCTATATTTGTTTCATGCAGTCCATCAACATCTTTTTCTGGGTTGATAGCAGAAAGTATTCGCTCAGTATCCACATGTGCAGGGAGTGGTAATTGTACAAGAATACCATGCACTGTATTATCATGATTGAGTTGTGCAATAAGAGCGAGTAGCTCATCGGTGCGGGTATGCTCGCCTAATTCAATAAGCTCCCCATCGATACCCAGTTCTCTGCATTTCTTTGCTTTCATGCTTACATAGACCCTGCTTGCAGGATCATTCCCCACCAAAATAACCCTTAAACACGGGGTAATGTTTTTTTCTTGTAGCGCCGTAATACGTTGGGTTAATTGAGTATATACATGCGTGGCAACATATTTCCCTATTAGTAGTTTATGATCATTTTTCATATTGGATATAATAATACTATACTATATTATTATTATTATATAGTAAACTTTCCCTATAAAAGGAGCGTATTGTGAATACAGTCGTTTTAGGAGCACAATGGGGGGATGAAGGAAAAGGAAAGATAGTTGATGCGCTTTCCTCTCATTTTAATTGGGTAGTAAGATACTCTGGTGGGGCAAATGCTGGGCACACGATATATCGAGACGGCGTCAAATATGTATTCCACCTCCTCCCTTCAGGTATATTGCATCACAGCACTTATATTCTCTTAGGTCCAGCTATGGTTATTGACCCAGAACAGCTCAATATGGAATTAGAACAACTGGATAAACAAGGTATACCATGGAAGAACCGCCTTTTCATTTCAGATAGAGCCCATCTTGTTGTTCCTTCATACAAGAAAGAAGATATTAAAATAGAGAATAAGAGAATAGATAAAATTTCTACCACTAAACGAGGTATAGGTGTAGCGTATGCTAAAAAAATGCTTCGTACCGGTATTAGAGTTGCTGATTTACATGATGCATCTTTGCTGCATAACCTTAAGAAATCAGACAGAAAATTCCTTGAACAGCATAGAGATTTTATAGAAACCCTATCAGTGAACTGTTACACTGTATTAAATGCTAATCTAGACAGTAATAAAATACTTTTTGAAGGGGCGCAGGGTGTAATGCTCGATATTGATTTAGGCACCTATCCTTATGTTACCTCGGGTTTAGTAGGACTAAACGGTGTTGCTTCCACCGGATTCCCCACAAAGAAAATTTCTCGCATCATTGGGGTGGCTAAAGCATATAGCACTCGAGTAGGGGAAGGCCCCTTTCCTACAGAATTTCCCAAAGAGCAAGGTGGCTTATTAGATCTTATACGGCAACGCGGCAACGAGAAAGGCAGTACTACAGGCCGCTTAAGACGTTGTGGGTACTTAGATCTTATAAGCTTAAAATATGCATGTGATATTTCTGGAATAAATTCACTGGTACTTACGCATCTCGATGTCTTAGATGTTCTGGAGTCGTTTCAGGTCTGTGTGGGGTATGAGCATGAGGATAATTTCTTTGACTCGCCTCCCAGTAATACAAAAACACTTATGCAATTAAAACCAGTGTTGAAAACCATAGAGGGATGGCAAACAGATATTAGCACAGTAAAGTCGTGGTCTCATATTCCTGCTAATACAAGAAAATGTATTGATTTTATCGAATCGTTTGTAGGAGTGCCTATTGAAGCACTTTCAGTAGGGCCAGATAGATCTCAGATGGTATACATACCTTCTTTTAAGCTATAGATAAGCGCTATAAATATAGCTATAAAATATATAAGCATAGGTTTGCGGGCTTTCTAGTCAGCGGCGCGGAAGTAGTACCAGCAAGTATGCACAAGTATGCACAAGCATGCAACAGTGCATATACGGCACGCTAGTAACTATGCGTCCTGTATATCGTAGTTGTGCTCTTATGCTGCCTGTACTATTATGCAATCTTATTTGCGTATTGTTTCATACAAGCCTTCATATAAGATCTGTTTCATAGAAGTTATTTTTTATATCTGGGTTTGTTGAAATTGGCACATACAATATTCGTGTTGTTAGCAGCACATGCATATCATAAACGTTTATTAAGCGTTTATATGGAGGTGGCGGGAATTGAACCCGCGTCTTAAAGGAGCGTATGAGCACTTCTACAAGTTTAGTTTATTACTGTAGTTCTCGTTGAGGAATTAAGCGATAAACACGCATCACCCAACATAGTCAATATGAATTTCCCAAACATTGCATTGACAACAATGTCAGGTACGTTCCAAGTGAACAGGTTTTAGCTAGGAACATCACTAAGCCTGTTGCTACATATTATGCAGCTAAAGCAAAATTTTCGTTTGCGTTTATTTTTGAGTTGGTAATTAGGTTACCATACCACTTGCATACTAATAGCACTGTCTCTAATCGAGTCCGAACACCCCCATGACATAAGTATACTAGAATCTAAAATTTTGCAAGGATAGTGTCAAGTATCTCTCTATCTGCTGCGGCAATAACATCTACAGTATTCGTTTCAATAATCTGTTGCCAGTTAAGCACTTCCCCTTGCCAATTACTTACGAAGCCACCTGATTCAACGAGAATGAGAAAGACAGGAGCTATATCCCATGTATGCATATTGGCATCTATCACAAGTCTAGCCTTATTTGCTGCAACTAAGTAGTAGGCGTATGCATCTGCCCATGTTCTAAAATGTGCTGGGTATTCAGAAAGCTCAGAATATGCGTTAGGGTGCTTCTGCTTTACTATTTTCCAATCATAGGAAAGAAAAAGCGGAGTATTTCCCCTTGCTATGCTTTGTTTGCTAATGGTCAGGCGCTTCCCTGCATCCCATGCTCCACACCCCTTCATAGCATATACTATCTTATTAAGCATTGGAATGGATATAGCACTAAAAATAGGTTCATATGTCTGTGTATCAAATAAAGACAGCAGGGTTGTAAACAAGGGTACACCATGACTAAATGCAAGAGTGCCATCAATAGGGTCAATAATCCACATATAACGTTCCGAGCGCTTTGTTACCCCAAATTCTTCTCCTAGAATACTATGTTTAGGAAAATATGTATTAATTTCAGAACGAATATAGGTTTCAATGTTTGTGTCAGCTGCGGTGACTGGGCTTTTATCGTCTTTGTATTGTATCTCCTTTTTCTCAGTAAATGATTCTAAAAAGTATGTTGTAGCAATGTGAGA